GGACACCAGAGACTTATATTACATATTGTAAAAAGGGGCATAATATGTCACCTTTAACAGCTCTTAACGCCGAATGTACACTTGGATGGTCAGATACATTGATGGGCTAGTATAAAAAAAATAAAATTACTTAAAGGTCTTTCCAGCATTAAGGTAATCCTGCTTTTTTTTTTTTTTTTTTTTTATTGTCTCCGTTACAAATTTGACTGGTAAATGATAAAGAACGATAGCCCCTTTTGTATTGCATTGCATTGCATATGACAGATTAATAAAAAGACATGCTATTTATGACTGGATGCAGCTTTTGATACTTCGCGGTAAAAGTGGCTCTCCGATTGACTTTGCCCTATCAGTGCGGCTCCCATGAAAAAAATAGTGAAGACCACTGCTGTATGGTTTAGAACTCAAACACTCCTCTGTAGTCCAACAGAAGCATTTACTAAACTGCAAAAATGCCCCCCCATGAAATCTTTACAATTGAATCCGAGCCCTGGAAATATAAACAAATGACTGCCCATATTTACACATCTACTAAACCTATGGTGGTCATTATGGTCAATAAAAAAAAAACTGATAAATCTATAAATATTCATAGAGAAAAATATATATATTTCAGTTCTTAAGTTTAAAGGTCTATTAGTGTGACACTGAAAAAAGACTGTTTAATTCCAAGGCACAGAAAAAGTGAAAACACCTTTCCCTTCACCTTTTCACCAAATCCAACATTTCAATAGATTAACGCCGAATGTGCACTTGGATGGTTAGATACATGATGGGCTAGTATAAAAAAATAAAATAACTTAAGGTCTTTCCAGCATTAAGGGAATCCTGCTTTTTTTTTAAAAATAATCTTGTCTCAGTTACAAATTTGACTGGTAAATGATAAAGAATGATAGCCCCTTTTGTATTGCATTGCATTGCATATGACAGATTGATAAAAAGACATGCTATTTATGACTGGATGTAACTTTTGATACTTTGCAGTAAAAGTTGCTCTCCGATTGACTTTGCCCTATCAGTGCGGCTCCCATGAAAAAAATAGTGAAGACCACTGCTCTAGACAATCTACAAATGTTAAATCTTTAAAATAAAATGTTAAGGTACTACTGCATCTTTTTGAAAAAAATAAATAAATAAATAAAAATGCAGCGATTGATATATAGTTTATTTATAGTTATATTCAAAGCTTCAATTAACTGTCATTACAAAAGAACTTCATAATTATTTAATTCTAACAAATAAGTTCTTGTTAAAAACTAACCAAAATTAAAAATAGTTTGCTTATAATTTCCACACAGGAGAGACTTGGTGTTGTTTCCAAACAAAAGAAAATATATCGTATCGGCCAAAAAGAGTTGAAAAATATCAGCATATAGGATATTGGCAAAAATCCAATATCGTGCATCCCTATCTTTATTTGATCTGATTTCTTCTCATAGACTAACATACTTTACCAATAAAAACAGTATTGTCTAACAATTGCAGTCCCATTTGTTAGGAATTAATTCAACAAAATGTGCAAAAATCCCAGAATGGCAGCATGGTGGTGTCACATGACATATGCAAAAGTTCTTTATAGATCATTGATCACAATAGAAATTAGTATCATGTACAATACCACTCCCTGTATCAGTATTAATAATATTATATCAAATATTCAAAACAATACTATAGTAGTCAACATTTGAAGTAGATCAAAAAAGTTCAAAGTTGTCCTAAGACAAGAACACATTTTGGTTTTAGGACAACTTTAATGAAAGGTTTTGGTCCACTTCAAATGTTGACTAGGCCTGTCGCAATAATCAATATATCGACTTATCGCGCAATATATGTACATGACCTCATTTGAAATCATTTTTGGCGAGGCAATATATCGCCCATTATATTAACTTAAAAATTAATGTCACCGTGTTTTGTACATTCCACTTGCGCCTGTGTCTTTTGCAGCTTCTCGTACATAACGTGGTGTAGTCATGAGGTGCTAGTTCAAATTTAAAAAATGCTTCTACAAAAAAAAAAAAATTCCTTTTGCAGATATGATCTTGTTTAGGGATCTGTGCCTTTGTGCATATGGACATCTGACTGCTAAGTAGTGATTAGGCATGGGCCGGTTACCGGTTTCAAGGTATACCGCGATTTGAAAATTCCACGGTTTCAAAACCGCTAATATCGTTCCTGCGCTTTTTCATGTCTCCTCAAAGACTGAAAGTGTAGGAATCCCTCAGGTTGAGTGCAGTGTATGCAGTGTAGCGACCCTCCTCCTCCTGTTGGTGCGAGCGAGCGGTCAGTCACGTGTGTGTAGGATGGCCGAACTTAAGGAGCTATTATTTCTGGGGCAATATATCGCACAACAAAAAGTTGTTATCGTGACAGGCCTACTTACAGTATTTAAATGGCACAAATAGAGTCAGGGTCACTAGAGTAACAACATCATATTGGAACAGATTTATACGAAATATAACTAGTATAACTAGGTAAAGTATAAATCACCATACTTTATAACATTTAAGAAGTTATAGTCTACTATTAAGTATTTTAAGTATTA